TCCATTTCTGTTTAGTGCTAATCTACATTCTTAGGTCCCAAGTGCACGCTTAACTGAAGCATTAGTTATTCCATTGACTTAATGGAAGTGCTTTTCTGGATTGGGATCTTAGTCCTTGGAATCAAACAAACCTCCCAGAGCTACTAAAGATAAGGATTTCTGCCATGTGTGTAAACCACCAATGCTTAGAACAATGTTCCTTGAGGATCATGTTATATATTGTTAGATTAAACAATCTGGTATATTGTTGAAAATGTGGGAACTTTTTCAGTAATTAGAAAATAATGAACATTTTTGAAGGAAAATGCATTGTTGTTGTTTTTTAGGAGCAGAGGGTGTAAAAACCGAGTCAGTTCTCTGGGAACTGGGGTGGAGGTAATTGAAATTTAATTTATTTTTTTTAAATAAATAAGTATATATGTGCATTAAAAGTGTGTGTGTATGTAAGTGTGTGTGCGTGCGTGCATTGGTATCTGTTACTTTTGTGACAGGTTATAGAGCTGCCATAAATTGTCAGTGAATCTCTAGTGTGTTAGTTTCTTATTTATAAATATCAGCCTCACTGCTTCATCTCTTTAAAGATGTTTTGAGAAGGAAAGGAGGGACATATGTCAAGTGTTGACATAGTTTGAGGACTAGAAATTTTAATGGCATTTCTTCTAAAATGTCAATAGATACTTTTTCAATTTGTAGCTGTACTTCTGATAATTCACATTCAGGAACACAAATAATGTACTAAATTTTGGAAACATTGTGGCACAGCATGCGAGTTAAAGTAATACCTTAATTATCTCTACCCAGGTGCACAAGGAAAAAAAAAATGTGGCGCTGGCTTAGATGAAGGATCATCATAAAACATTTGAAATGGAACATCTGCAGCTGATTTTTGGGGATGTTTAAAAGTATTTTTCTTAATAAGCTGCAGGTTTCCTATTTTGATTTTGAAAAGTGAAAGAGGCAGGGTGTCCCTCACTCCTTTCTATCACCAGTCCTTTGCTGTATTTACTAGGAAGAGCTGGAAGACAGAAGAATTATTGACTATACCAAATGCTGATCTAGTATGGGCTAGTGTATACAGTGCTTTTCATTCATAGATCTCAAAGTGCTGTACAAAGGGAGGTCAGCATCATTAGCCCCATATTACTCACATACAGCTAACTGGTTGTGGGAGTGGGTGAGCAGGCTATTTTGGGGGGCTGGGAAGACAGTGTGTTCTACCTGTGCATGATGTGTCAGGAAAAGGGTCTGGAGCTAAAGGATCTGCCATTCTGTGGATCCACATGTCCTTCCACCTGCAGGGAGCAGAAGGGAGTAGTGGCTGTGGACCAGCTCCGTAGGCAAGCAGAGAATGATTCCTTCTGCATCCTGCTTGCTTCTGTGCTGTTCTCCTGTATCCAGCTGAGCTCCATAGGCTGGTCAGGCACTGGGGAGAGGTCGTGGAGCAAATCATATGCTTTTGGGGTTTTTAGCTTTGGTTTGTGTGCATTTTGTCTCACTGCATGAAAAGACTACCTTCCTCACTGTTCTGCTCATCCTGGATGAAGAGTCTGGACCTGATCCCAGAGCCCTTACTCTTGCAAATAATCTAGTTGAAGTGATCAGGCCTTCTCTTATAAGTAATGGCTACAAGCAATCCAGTGCTATACATGATCTTTATCCAGACAGCCATCCAGGCTTTTTCACCCGTTAGAAATAATGTCACTGGTTAATCTTTTCACTCAAGATTTTGGCACATCTCCCTGAGGTTCCCAGCAAAGTTGTCGTTGAGGCATTATAAAACGCACAGATTTTCATTGTCTGCCTCCGAGGCTCTGAGCCAAGATCCTCAAACACAGGGCACGACTTATTTTGCTGCTCTGGCCTCAGTGCTGCCTTCTAACATGGGCCCAAGACAGCAATCTCCTTGATCTTCCACTAAGAATGAATCCCTTATCTGGCACTGGTTAAATTGAAAGTGGCAGTGAAAAGCAACCCAGTACAGCCTATTCAGGCACAATAGCCATAATGACAATGCAGGAAGAACTCCCCTCAGTGCCTATTCTTCATTTGGCATAGTAACCACCGGCACCAATTCCAGACCTATCCTCTGCTGCCAATGTCTGTCTTGGCACAGCAAGTCCTTACAGATGCCTGTGAAGGTAAAAGTAGGAAGAGAGAGAATCTCTCTGTAAGAGGGGCATAAGAAAAAGAGGAAGTGCCGTCCTTCTCCTTTGTACTCTGACCCATGAAGGTCATGGATTAGGAGATGTATAAAACCCTGCTGCATCTTAGCTAGGAAACCAGTACCCCCTGGTTTAAACACCCATTCCATGGGAGCTATCACAGCCTCAGTGGCCTGGCTTAGGCGGGTGCCCCTTGGTGGAGATAAACAAAGCAGCAACTTCAGGTTCAATGCACACTTTCATCACATGCTGCTCCTTGGATGCCCAGTTTGGAAGAGCAGTGCTACAGCCCATATTTAGCTAAGAACTCCTCAGCCACCATCCCTCAGGTGGAGCATTGGCTCTTGAAGAAGAAAGGTTATGTACTATAAGTGTTGTTCAAGAGTTGCCCCTGTGTATTCACACTAGCCGCCCACCTTCCCCTCAGAGTCAGAGTTCTAGATAAGCTCTGCAGTCTAGGCAGAAGGAACTGAGGCTGTCGGGCGATGACAGAACTCAAATTGCTGGGGAATTTCTTTTAAACATCAGAACTAGGGTAGCTCCAACTTCAAAACGAGACTATTTAAAATTTAGATAAAAAGCCAAGTGTGAATTTGACTTGTCAACATAAAGGGCAGGAACAAAATTGTTGTTCGCAAAATTATGGATGTGAAAACGTCAGTATTTCCCCCGTGTAGTAAACTGAAAAATAGTCTACTCAAAAGTGCTGCTGTGAGTGGAATTCCAAGTTTCATAATATAAAATGTTCATAGTTCCTCATATAAAAGCATGAAGTCCCTTTGGGGGTGATACTACGTGTTAAGGAAATGATTGTAATACTTTTTTTAGAAGCTTGAATAACAATGGAATACAAAAATAAGTGTTAGCCGAAGCCAGTTGACTGAATGGTGTTTAACTGTTTGATAATACTGAGGCCCTCAGCTACTTAACACTTCAACCAACTCGTTCATTTTTAAATAAGCATTTTTTATAGTTGGAAAAATCTACAAACGTGAGCTTCTTCAAGCATTTTGTAATAGTAATTGCTACAGATTAGCCCGCTGTATAGAAGTGTGTTCCAGAATAAGACATTACACATCTAATACCTTTAACCCATAAAAGCACTCTCAAAACTTCTAGTTCAGTTTTTAATTTTTTTTTTCCTGTGTAAGCATACTGCTTGGTTAATAGCAAATCCACCCACTGAATCAAATTCTTCTGTAATGCAGCTCTACTTAATTCAATACCAGAGATGAATTTGGCCTCTGAATGAAAAGATGGCTGCACCAATGTTAGCTTGCAAATCATGAAACCTTCTATTAGAGCTGCAGAACCTGAAGACTAGTTGTAAGGGTTAGAACTAACGGATTTCCTAGATAAATTGGATTTACTACATGCTCGCTTTCTGTTTAACACCAGTGTGCCAGATCATTATGAGATGACCAAAAGTAACTCACGTGGTACAAACTCTTAAGCAAGATCTTGACACCAACTGGTGGTTTATATTCCCAAGCATGTTTTCAGACAATCCACCAATACTCAGCGTAGCTGATGATCCTGTCACACTACCTAATTCACTGTTCCTGTGACAGTAAGAGCTATTAGGGTAGATGACTGCCGTTGTCAGACTGAAACAAGGTAAACAATAGATCTTATCTTGTATGACAAAATTGACTAATGTGCAGGGATTAACCACTTGGGCATATCTCAACCTTTCTGATGTTAATCCTAATGGAAAAATTCCCTGTGTGAATTGGAATTAGAGTGAATTTACCACCCCCTGTACATGAGGAAGCTTTAGGTATATCCCTCTATCTTAAATCACAGCTCATTTGTGGTCCGATCTATGTGCACCGAAGGCTAGGAGTGGGCAATGTGTGAACTTTTCAGAATACAATTCATTTGGACGGGGATACAGGAATCTTCTCAGTAGCAAGGATCATGGGTATAATCCTCTCAATGTGAAAAAGGCCAAATTAAGACTATTCGTTATACACCTTGCAGCATGCCATTTGCAATCATATTGACCTTCACACCATGTGTGTGACTCTCTGCTAAATGAAAGTGCAGTTTTACTTTGAGAAGAGACTGTACACAAAAAATGTCACATTTGTAATCAGCAGTTCCATTCTATTAGTGTATTCACCGATCACACCTATTTACCCTAGTGACACAAATGGATTGTTCCAGTCCTTTGCTCCAACAACTCAAAACATGTGAGCTGGATTCTGTTCTTCTTATGCGTCACCCATCAAATCAGCATCACCCTGTTCCAATCAGTTATACCTGTGCAAGCTGCTGAAAGCACTAATGGCATAGCTGGAATACAATGGGCTTGCAGATGTCTCTGGGGGCCCAATTTGGCCTGCAGAACCTTTATTTCTTGTGATGATAGGCAAGAAGGAAAGAAGCTTAACATTCAGCGTGAAGGTTGAGAATGTAAGAGGCTCAGTTAAGAAGAAAACCTCTCATTTGATATGGAAGCACAGAGTTATGTGGAAACCTGCAATGCCATTATTTCAATGTACAGCCTCACTTTACTGTACAGTGGATTATATTATAAATATATACACATAATTTTGTCATAAAAAACACATCAATACTGTTAATCCATTTAAACTGAATAGTCCCTTCAGTAGACATAAAACAAATGTATTTCCTACCAATGCTAAAATATTCTGGTATGTATTATTACATTGTTCTGGAATGACAAAACATTTGAAACTGGCAAAGTTATTTTCATCACTGATAATGTATGCACTTTTTTAAGAGAACACAGTGAGATCTAATTTTATTTTAATTTTCTTTGTATATTTTATCACCCTATAAAAAGAGCCCAAGTTCAATGTTCAACATCTTTCAAACAGAGAGTGTTACTGCTGCTGGAAGCCATGAGAGCACCACGGCGGCCAACAGCAAGATCAACCCTCCATCCCTAATCAGATGTTTTAGAGTATAGATTCTGAGCTTTCTTCCATGTCCCTGGAATTTAAACCACTCAACTACTTCGGTCAGACTAAACTGCTCAGGTTTGTACCCTAGCTCTTTCCTGGCCTTTTCCATGCTGAAATAATGTGTGACGCCCGTTTTGTAAACCTCGGTGCGAGTGAGAAGAGGCTGAAAATTATAAAGACGGCCTACAAGAAAATGGACTATTTCAGTTAGGAATGCAGAAAAATATACAAAGGAGAGAGGAAGACGAATGGTTGGGAATTGGTAACCCAAGCCTTCAACTAAAGGTCGGAAAAATTCAAAGTTGTTTATTGGCCTGCCATCTGAAATGAAGTAAGCTTGGCCAGCAGCTATGTGCCGTTTGGCCGCTTTAAGTGCCTCTGAAGCAAGGATATGAGCCTGAACTAGATTATCTACATGGACAAATTCTACTAAACTCAGAGGGTCTCCATATACAAATTTAAACAATCCCCTTTCAACGTAGCTAACTATTCTTGGAAGATGCCTTTGCTCTCCAGGCCCATAGATGCCTGCTGGTCGGAGAGCACAGGTCCTTAACACACCTTTCCCTTCTCCAAGCTCAGTGTCATTTGCCTGCAGCACTTTCATCTCAGCTAAAGACTTGGTCCGGGAGTAGTGATCAGGATGAAGGTGAAGTGGTAGATAAGGCAGAGATTCATCCCCGTTTTCTATAACTTGGCCCCCAAAGACTACATTGTATGTACTTGTATAAACCAGACTTGGCACTCCTGCTTTCCTGCAAGCCTGGATGATATTTTCTGTTCCTCTCACATTAACGTCTTCTATAAGTTTTCGGTTCAGCTGCTCCCTGCCAGACATTCCATAGGAAGCAATATGGAATACACAGATTACATCTCTGAGAGCTTTTTCCACTTCAGAGAGACAGCAGACATCCCCCTGTATGAACTTCACTCCCTCTGGCACAGCTTGGACCGGCTTCAGGACATCAAAGAGAATCACGTCAACTCCCTTTTTGTATAGCGCACAACCTAAACTAAAACATGACCAAGACCATATGTTACTACTATACATAGTGTAATGACACATGAAACATTTCACCCATGAGTAGAAGAAACTTGTAAACTATTTCAGTGCTGAATTCTTGCTGGTCAGAGTTGTCTGAGGGTAGGTCTACACTGAGTACTTACATTGGCATAGCTATGTCTCTCAGGATGCGTGAAAAATCCACACCCCTGGAGACATAGTTATGCTGACCTCACCTCTGCCCAAACACGATAAATCAGGTACTCATTTTGCAGATGGTGAACTAGAGGTAGCCTTTCAATATGAGAGCAAGTGAGGCTCAATCCCATGATCTTTAGCATTGTATTTGAGGCACTGGAATCACTAAGAGAAACACAGAGCCCTGTGATACCATATTTACAGACTCACTTCACTAAAAAGATCTGCATTGTAAAGTGTTTGCTACTATATTTAATGTAAAATAAAGTTAATATTTTATGCACTAACCGGAAACCAAAGTAACCACCTCCTCCTGTAATAAGGACCGTTTCCTTGGTCACATTTTCTAAGTGCATCCTTTTTCCTTTGGCACTACTTTATTTGAGCAAATTGACCTGTAGATTAAAAAAAAAAATGCATGACAAAACTGCATAATTAAAAACAATTTTCACTGCATTTTAACATCTCCACATATTTAGCCATTCTAAGTTATATGTTTGTGCTTTAATTTTAGGAGACTGACTGCATCATCTGCTAAGTAATGCAGGACTAGATCCCATCCCTTTATTCTTCTAAAGTCATATACAACTAAATAACAAAAAGACCACATTGTGAATATGACAATTACTAATATACTCACTACTAATAGCCAAATAAGCAAGAGAATTATCAGTTTTCATTAATTAGGCCATATTCTGATGTTACACAGGTGTGCATGGAATAATTCAATTAAACTCACTACAAAACTACACGGTACTATAGAAATGCCACTAATTCATACACTGAATAAATTTGCATAACAATTCTGTATCAAATATCCATGTACCTGAAGCTTTCAGTGTACTGAGATAATACACCAAGTACTCATATATACATATTTGTATGTGTATCGCTTTACGTAGAAATGGCACCAACTGTAGTCTACCCTTTATATACTCATTCCTTACCTAAACTATTATACCTGTCAAAGTATTATGTGTATATTTCACCTGTATACTTACATGTAAATATCCCTAAAATACTCAAAGAGCGGGAAAACAAAGGGCCTGCATTAGACAGTATGCTTCCTTGGCCCCAATTCTGCAATGATTTCAGCACAAAATAGGTTTATACACATTCCCACTAAAATCCACAGGCCTACTCATGCACATAAACCTATACAAATGCCTAAGTCTACATAAGATTTGCAGGCTTTTTTATTTGCTGGGACACAACCTTAACAACATGTGTATCCAGATACGTATGCTACCTATGAAGCCGGCCAATAGAATGCATTCAGTGGAACAGGGGAGGAGAGCTGTGGATGACACTGAGGAGGTGATCAATGCATCGGCGGTCGATTTAGTGAGTGTCATAAAGACCTGCTAAATCGACTGCTGATTGCTCGCCCGTCTACTCCTGTATTCCACCTGATCGAGAAGAGTAAGGGGAGTCGACATTGTGTAGTGTGCACCCTGCGGTAAGTAGATCTAAGCTACGTCAATTTGAGTTACGCTACTCATGTAACCCATATTGCGTAGCTTAGATCGACTTTTCCCTTTAGTGTAGACAAGGCCTTAGGCTTTGTCTGCACTAGCACTTTTTGTCGGTCAAACTTTTGTCGGTCAGGGTGTGCAAAAACCAACCCCCTGACCGACATAAGTTTCACCAACAAAAGTGCCGGTGCAGACAGCGCTATGTTGGCAGGAGACGCTCTCCTGCGGACAGAGCTAAGGCTGCTCGTTGGGAGTGGTTTAATTATGCCGGCAGGAGAGCAAAGAGTGGCTATCCACAGGGGAGACCTTACAGTGGCACCGCTGTACCGATACAGCGGCTCCGCTGTAAGGGCCGTAGTGTAGACGCTACCTTTGTTTAGCTGCTGGGGATGAGAAACAAGGCGGATGAGGGAATCTCTTTTATTGGACTCGCTTCTGCCGGGGCGTGAGACAAGCGTTCACAACCTGCTGTACCTGCTAGGCCAGCTCTGCCCGTGACATGCCCTGATCCCTTCCCCCCGGCGGGGAGTCAGCAGTAGGCCAGGGCAGATCAGTTCCGACAGCCACGCAGTCACCTGCCTAGGGAGCGGCCCCTAACGCCAGGGCTGCCGGTTCAGTACTAGGGTTACCATACGTCCGGATTTTGCCGGACATGTCCGGCTTTTTGGGACTCAAATCCCCGTCCAGGGGGAAATTCCAAAAAGCCAGACATGTCCGGCAAAATCCAGCACCGCTGGTGCTGGGCGGCCGGGCTGGGGGTGCTGGGGGGCCGGGCCGCCGGCGGCGCTGGGCGGCCGGGGGCCGGTGGTGCTGGGCGACCGGGGGGGTGCGCCGGGCGGCCGGGGGCCGCCTCCTCCCCCCACCCCCCCAGCTTACCTGCTTCCTGCGAATCAAATGTTCGTGGGAAGCAGGGGAGGGGGCGGAGTTGGGGCGGGGATTTTGGGGAGGGGGCGGGGTGGGGGCGTGGGCGGGGCTGGGGCCGGAGCCCCGTGGAGTGTCCTCCTTTAGGAGGCTCCAAATATGGTAACCCTATTCAGTACCCCCCCCCCGCCCTGGCCGGGGGGGGGGGGGGGTTGCAAAACGCCCCGAGGCCCCCCCCCCCTCCATCGGTGCAGCGGGAGCAGGGCGCACAAGGCCCAGCGATGCACAGGTCGGCGCGGGGGAGAGGGGGGGCAGACGCCGGGAGCAGGCACAGCTCCGACCCTGCCTGGGGCTCCCTACACGCGGGGCTGTGCCGAGGGGCGGGGCCTGCGGACCCCCCGGGGACGCTAACGCTGCAGCCCCTCTGCCGCCCCCCCCTTACCTCCCCTCCCAGCAGCTCCAGCCGGTTCTGGGCTCTCTCCCTCTCAGCCCCGCCCCGCCCCGCCCGCGGGGTGAGCTGCTTCCGGAGGCTGCCTGAGGAGAGCCCGCGCTGCTCTCATCCCCGCCTTATCCCCATCCACCCGCGCGCAGCCCTGGCCGCGGGACAGGCGCGGAGCAATCGCGCGTGTCCGGGCCACCGTAGCCGGCAGAGCAGAGCATGGGCTGTAATGAACTGAATGGGTTTCCGTAGGGCGGGTCCGAAAGCCTTCTGGGAGTCCGTACAACACCATGGCGGCGTTCGCAAGGAGGCGGGCCCTTGAAGCGCAGCTGCAGGTTCCGTACAACAAGATGGCGGTTCCCAGCATGCCTTGAGCGGGAATTGCGGGGCCATGGCGGGGAATCTGAAGGCGAGCGAGCTGCGCTCTGTGCTGCGGAGGCTGGACTCGGCCAACCGGGCTCTGGGTAAGGGAGGCCGCCCTAGTTAGTCGGGGGTTGGCAATGGGTAGTCGCGGGGCTGTTGGCCATCCCATCAGCCCCCGTCCCGCCCCATGGCTGAGCCCCGGACTCCGACTGCGCGGTGCCTACGGTGGAGACCCGGGCCTTTGGGACCTGGTCGTGGGGCCTCAGGTTTCCAAGCCCCGGCTTGAGCGTCCACACTCACGGCATTGTAACCCTGACTGACTGCCTCTGGACCCGGGTCTCTCAGTCGTGCTAACGTGTCCGCACTGCACCACGGGGCCCTTCTGATAGGAGTACGTGGCATGAGCTGCGCCCACGCTGCAAAATAGCAGGGCTTGGACTGGAGTCACAACGGGCCTCGGGCCTTGGCCCACCCCGCTAGTGCAGTCCTAGGAACCAGGGCCTGCGTGCTCACTGACCCAAGTCAGACTGATTTGTGTGTGGATGGAAGAGGGCCCAACCCTGAGCAGTGCCCAGGTTTAAGGCACTGTGTAGACATACTCTGTGGGGCTCTGGTCTCTTAGATTCGTATATTAGAAAATCTGGGTCCGCAGTGCTGGCTGGTGGTTGTCAGAGCCTGCCACTTTCCTCCCTATAGTGACCCCCTCCAGGGCTACTTCTGAACTATACCGAAGTCTGTTTTTTGAATAAGGGCATATCACATTTTCATGATGTTCAAACTCTGCTGTGATGCTCAACCTGACTCCTCTGTACCCCAGCCTGGTATTGTTGTAACTTGGATGCTCTCTCAAAACTTCCCAAGCCTAGTCTTGTGGGAGCAGTCCAAATCGAGCTACAATGTATAGTTCATGCAATTAAATAGGTGTAGAAGATGGCCATGCTGACTAATTAAGTCTGCATGGGAAACCTGGAATCACCAGTGCTACAAAGCCAAATCCTGCATCAGGGCTGGTATGAACAATGGTTTTAAGCAACTGTGTTAGAAACTAGCAGAGGTGAGATAAGCCTTGTGGTTAAGGCACTATGTTTGGACTCAGGAGATCTAGATGCATAATGGTAACAGAGTTCAGTAGAATCGCTACAGCTTTACATCAGTGTACTTTGTGTCAGAATCTTATCCAAGGAGTCTCAAACTTAACCGTAACAAAAACAAACAAAAAAAAAACAATGTAAAATCACATTACCAATGCTTTTCTTTCTTTCAGAGACATGTATTCAGTCACTTGGGGAATGTCAGAAAACACTCCAAAAATCAATTCAGTGTCAGAGCTACTTAAATCACGTAAGCATGATTATAGTTTCTAGTTTTCAAAAATATTAAGGTGGAAAGTATGAAAAATCTGCTACTTTTTGTTTCGTTTGTTTTTAAATTCATGACTGGTAAGAGTAAAACGAAGAAAGTAAAAAATTCATTCGTTGTTCAGTGTACCTTATTTGTTAACCTTTTTAATATTGTTCACATTTTATCAATAGTGTGTTCCAAGGTAAAATTTATACATAAGATCTGAAACTAATAAGGCATTATGTATTTATTTTAGACCCCTGATTTAAAATTTCTTTTAGCTTTTAACAATATACGTATATCATGGGCGTACTCTTGTGAACATTTATTCATTCATATGCTTAACTATTTGCAGGATTGGTCCCTAATAGGTAAACATTTGAAAAGTAAGATACTGAGCCCTGAATTTGAATTGAGATCTGCTAGCATTGTCCCATAGTGGATTCTGATGCGACATTAGTACTTTGTACTGTTAAAACAGATTGTACTTCCACCTGAATATGTTCAGAGTCACTTATAGCACAGTGTGGAGCCATATTATCCTAACTACTGCCCTGATCCTGCACAATGCTCTGTGTGAGCAGAGCCATGCTCTTGCATGGAGTCCTATTGATCTCAGTGGTATTCTGCGTAGGCTCACAGATCTATCCATGCAGAGCAATTTGTAGGATCAGGATTTATCTCTTTTGTAAGTAATGGTTTTATGTACTTTCATTTCTTTCTTGCCTTCAGCATGTTAACTGTGTTATATGGAGTGTTTAGAAATTAGTTCAGATTTTTTGGTACCTATTTCAAATATTGATAAATATAGGACACTGTAATGACGACAAATATTAGGCTTTTGCTCTTAAAATCGCCAGTGGTGTATTTTTTATAATAGTAACCCCACAAATAATCAAAGCACTGTATGCGTGTGGGTGGGGTAAGGTGGGGGGAAATGACCTCATTAAACCTCACATCTGTGTGAGAAAGGTGGGCAAATATTATTCTCATTTTATGGTGGTAGAGCTGGGTTTAGAACTCAGGTGTGTACGGGGAGGAAAGAGTTTTTAGACCCTTCCCCATGGATAGTCAGCTAGTGCATACTGCCTCACATTTTAATAAAATAAAACCTCTGGCTTTCTTAAGACTATAAGGGTGCTTACTAATTTCATGTATATCATATAATCTTACAAATAGACTTCTCATTCTAGTTTCCTTGTTCTTATACAGTGGAACCCATACCTTTGAAATCTTGCACAAGTTTTAATTCCAATTGGCTGAGGTGGGGTGAGGTTTACTGCTTCAAACATAGGCCTTGTCAACACTTCAAATTTTACTTTTGTTTTAAGTACTCAACATATCAGAGACCTGTGTTCCCTCTAAGCTGCGTGGCCCAGGAGTGATTCAAGTACCGCGCACTTGATTAGCAGAGCTGTGCACATCCGGCAGCATTCGTTCAGGTGCCCCTCTCCGCCCCACTGCTTTGCAGCCACATTGCTCCTGCAGCTTCTCCCGGGACCCTCCTGCTGGCTGTGCAGAGCGGGAGGGGAGGGGGGTGCTGATGTCAGGGTGTCCCCCTCCCCCCGCCCCTGTACCTCATCTCCACAGAGCAGGGGAGAGGGGACAGAGCTCAGGATTTGGAGCAGGAGAGAGCTGCTGAGGTCTGAATGAGCCTCCAGGCGGTGAGTGAGTGCCTTAGAGACTTCCCCAGCAACCAGCTTGCACAGTCTGTGTCTGTCTGTCTCTCTCTCCCCTCCCCCTCTCCCCGCCCATGTACCCCATCTCTGCAGAGGGAGGATGGAGGGACAGGGCTCAGTCAGGAGCCGGAGAGGTTTCAGTGAGTGCCTTAAAGAGCGCATGGCATCTCTCAGAAACTTCCCCAGCAGCCAGTGCGCACACAGTCTGTCTCTCTCTCACCTCCCAACATATACTTGTGGTGGTGGTGGTGGTGGTGGTGGTGTTACTTTTTGGTACTTCCTGCAATGCACATATATTCTCTGTAATATTATTCTTTCAAAGTGTGTTAATTTAGTTTTTGACTGGTCTATGCATTTCATAATTTTTATTTCTCTTACACTTAAATGTAATTCTTTGAGGAGTGAGTTCTAAAAGGCTTAACCTGTCCTGGCTGAGTAATTATCCCTATGGTAACTTTTAAAAAATATATATAATATCTAGGTTTTTTGTTTCTACTGGTGGCGCACATCCACTCATTACCTCGGTGCACATAACAAAATTTATTCCGCACATGGAGGGAAAAAATTAGAGAGAACATGGTCAGACACCCAAACATATTATAACATGGCTTGTCTTGCCCATGTGAAGAGGATCAAGCTGTTATAACTCATTTAAGGAATTGCTCTCTAACCTGGAATCCTTAAATGGTAAAATGTCTTGTGTAAATGGTGTCTTATTTGTCATGGCTTTAAATGAACCTGAACTTTTGTGCAGTGAGGCATAGGGATTTTTAAATCAGCAGCTAAATGGAGCAAAGTAAACAGCTGTAGTGAACCTCATAAACTATAAAGAATGAGGAGCAAGCTCATTAATACCCCAATTTTTAGCATGCTGATTCTCTGCTATTTAAAATGCTTAAT